CAGTGCTGCTGTTGGGGATTTTCCTGTACACACGCTGGCGGAGCTATAAGGGGCTGAAGGAGGGCGTATATCACGTGTCTGCGCACCATGACGGATGGGAGGACATTCGAGAGAACGTGCTCAACTACGACGAGGAGGGCGGCGGGGAGGAGGATCAGGTGAACGCATGACTTCTGTTTAAAAATTGATTTCAGATCACAGGTCAGAGAATCCGACGCCTGCTTCCGACACAGGAGGACAAGCGAGCACTCAAAGTTACTATGACAACTTGTACAGGTTGTCATGCTTCCCCGTCGCAGCGAGGCACCCTTGTCAGTTTATCTCTATGACAACCTCGAACATTTAAAAAATGCACACTGATGTCGATGACAAGAGGCTTCACTGAGTGCAGAGAGAAAGTGTGACAACTCGTTTTGTTAGAAATGTGGCTTTTTATTTCCAGAAACCCACCGAATAAGAGGTTTGGGGTGTTTGATGTAACCGCCCGCTCCTCTGATCTATCTGAAGTATGTGGGTGTAGATATGTTGCAGGATCTTTTATTCTCATATCTGCCGTGTGTAAAATCCTGTTACATGATTATCAGATGCATAGTGGTGCTCTGATACTCTCCATCTGATGAGGCTTCACACATCTTCCTCATCGTGTAATCAATTACGCCCACACCCGTGTCACCCACACCTCCCTCTCTGTCTCTCTTTCTCCTCCTCCTCTTCGTCTATTTTTTCCTCAAGGGGCATTATATGTTTATCTTCCTCCCCCGAGAGCTGCACCACTAAATAACGAGAGGAATCATCCTTGGTGGAATGGGATTAATTTTGACGCTCAATGGGAGAAGGGGACCGGTGTCTTGTTTTGTTGCGTTGACTGAGTGTGTAATGCCGATCTGTGCTCTTCACTGCATCTGTCAGGATTCTTCCTCTCAGGTGCAGGAAGACGCACACAAAGGTGTTAATCAGAATGCGGCGTTAGCAGCTTGAATCCGGATTAATGCCATTAACAGTTTGGGGGATAATAAATTACATGATGAAGTACAGACAAGCAGCTTATTTTGTCAGTGAGCTCGGTCTTATTAGTCGTAGCAGTTTTTGTGGCAGACGTTGTTGTTGTCATTACACCAGTTCCGAAATGTAATGGCACATTATGTAATGCTAATGATCTTGTTATTTGTCAGCACTTTATGCATTTCATTTCCCCCTCTCTCGCTCTCCTTCAGAACGCCTATGACATGGCAGAGCTCCAGAAGTCCCTGCAGCCCAGTCCGGCCCAGTCGGTGCAGTACAGTCGGTCGCGAGCCCTCCACCACCACCCTCCCTCCCAGCAGCAACAGCAACATTTTTGCCAGCCTGACCCCCCCTCCAGAGCGGGCACGGCCACCACCACCTCCTCCATCTCCTCAGGAACAGCCACCATCCGAAGGGACGTACCCCCCTGCCGCTCTCCGGCTCAAGGCCAGACTGCAAATCCCAGCCGAGCGGCCCAGCTGGCCCGCAAGAGCTTGTCGTTCTCCAGCCAGGACCTGGCCCGCTACCTGTGTGAAATTATCCGTGATGCTGACCAGCACCCGGAGACGGCGCCCTTCGACTCTCTGCAGGTCTTCTCCACTGAGGGGGGTGGGTCGCTGGCCGGGTCACTGAGTTCCTTCAGCTCTGCTGGGCTGGAAGAGGGAACGGCAGCGGGTCACGAGTGTTTGAAAGAGTGGGGGCCGCGCTTCGAGAAGCTGAAAGCCCTCTACGAGCGGGCTGAGGGCAGTGACCTCTAAGGAACTGCCGGGAAGAGTTCTTGCAGCGTGAGGAGAGGAGGGAGACCACCAAAGACTTGTCTAAAAACCAGAGGGATTTTTCTTACGCTGAAAATTCCTACGCTTTGGCTTTCTCTGGATGCATTACTTCATGCGAGACACTCTCTCTGCCTATGGAGGTGGGTGACATTTGGGACTCTCAATGAGTAGCAAATGGGAAGTGCTAATCCAAGACACCGCAAGTTGTGGTCATGGCAGATTTTAAACCCAGATCGGGCATCTTTATTAAAGTGATTTGCGGATGACAATGATTTTAGTGGAACCATTTGTTGTCTTTGTGACTATCACTGGCGGAGCTCTTTGGACGTGTTCTATATGTCTGTATGTTCTATATGTTCTTAAATAAAAGAAAGACGGGAAGAAAAATAAACTGCTGTGCTCAGATGCGACTAGGAAGGGGTTTGTCCTCCTCCTTCACGGGCCGCATTCTGAAATCAGTTCACCACTTGTTCTGTCAGGGTGGCCACTTGTGTTCATCAATCATAACTTCATACTTGGATACTGTTGATTTTTTTTCTATTTTCTCAGCCCTCCGCTTAGATTCTATTCGCGAGGATGCGAGGATGAAAGAGGCAGTCTGCGGGAAAAAAAGACCAATAAAAACTGAAGATGAGTGAAAAACACTGAGGAAAATGAAACAGAAAGCAGCCTTATTCTTTGGCATTTTAGGAGACATTCCTTGGGAATACAAATTGTGTCCTCTCTTTCTAGCCAAAAAGGAGCGAAGGAATGGCTGGAATAAAAATGTGGCTGAGGCACAAGGCTGAGTGGCTGGCATGAGATGAAAGTTTTCTGTAGCTGAAAACTATCGAAAACTCTCTTGGCTCTCACGGTTTGCTGAGCGGTAGCAATCAGAGTCTGCCAAGCTAAAGAATAGCCATTAAGACAAATGAACGAATGCATGTGTTGTTCCATGCGATCAACTCAAACGTGATATCGAGCTCTGCTGGAGGAGCTTTCAGCACTGGAGTGAGCTTACAGTCCAGTTTGCTTCCTCCCGAAAGTATTGTATTATTAACCAAACCAGCTTACTCAACTGTATTGTCATTTCCTGTTCTACTATAAATAACCCCTTGTATCCCATCACATTATTCGGCACTGCAGTGAAAGAAATGGGCCTCGGCACCAGGTGCATTCTGGGAATGGCGGGCCAGCGGTTTCAGACCCCGAGCACCTCCCATGTAACATGTTTAATGGGCTTGTGAACGCATGTGGTGAGGCTGCATGGGGTGAAGGAAAAGCAAGGCAAGCGTGTGTGTGCGCAAAATGGAATAACTATAAGTCTCCCCCAGTGAGGCCTCAAATGCCAACCTTGTATTTTATGCATTTTAAGGCAATGTTTTTTGCCCTCCTTTTATCATTTTGGTTTATTTTTTTTCCGGAGAATGCCGTATGTGGAGCATGACAGGCTGGCTGAGGAGAGTGGAGCGAGTAGGAGTGTGTTAAAAGACATCAGAGTGTTAATCCTAATGTGAACTGATCGCTCACTGTCATGCTGTGAACCAAAGGATCATGGGAGTTGGAAAACTTGATGGAGAAGTCGTCACTCTTATTACGGATCTCAAAAAGTGCCAACATTTCCAAAGGCAGCAACAAGAGTATAAAAAAGGTTTCCAAGTCGAAGCTAAGAAATATAGCTGGAAGTGCAATGCTTGCTATTTCATCGAGTTAAAAAGAGGCCAATGGGATTGGTGCTTGGAGTCATCCTTGTAAGGGGATTGGGGAAGGATTCAGTGCGAGGTGAGAGTATTCATGAATGAAGCGTGATGGGCTCGGTCTTTGAATCACATAAATCCTTATCTTACAAAACCAATTCCTCTGCAATTTTGAACCAAGGCCACCTGTTTATTTGTGTGGTGAATATATACAGTACTCTATTTTGTGAAACAATGTTTTTACCTCATTTGTGCATATCAAAACAAAGTAATTGCTTTTTAAAAAATATATATAAAGGGACCTAATTCTGTTTAAAGCTTGTTTTTTCATGTATTATTTAATCCTTTAAGTTGGTAAAAGTATCTTGACATTTTGTATTTGCATCCTTTAAAATAGTTTTTTCTTTCTCAATAAATGGATTTCTTCTGTTATGGCTTCAATTATACTTGAATACCACTGTTAAATACTGCTACATTCAAATGAAACAGCGGGGTTTTAAGCCTCTTGATGAATAAGTGGCCTATTTTATGTGGAAACGGAGCTGTAATTAGTTTGGGATAATGCAGAACATGAAATGAGAGCGGCCTAAAATCTCTGACCTGTATTTATCAAAATGCCTTTGTGATTTGACTTCAAATGACAGAAGTCCTTTTGTAGTAACAGATCTGCAGCATCCACCATTCAAATATGCTTTAATACAAAAATGGAAACGAACACTGAACATCTAAAAACAAATCAACACTTTTGACACAAATGGGAACAATCCATCTGAGTGAAATACCACTGTAACAAACTAGTGCAATGAGCCGTATCAAATAACTCTTACAGTTAAACAATGTCAGCATATGAAATCAAAGCACACAGCTCCATAAAGATCATCGCCTGAGGAACAATATGTGTTGTGACAGAGATGTTGTGTGAAGCAAAGGTTTACATGAAAGTCGTCTGACAGGTAAGATAATTCACCATATTATAATACAATCACAGAATGTCACAGAGGAGCCCTCATGCTACAAAACGAATTTGCAGAAAAGAAACACCATGTTTATCTTTAAACACTTTAAAGTTATTTAAAACGGTTTTGTACCTCCGTACAAAGATATTCATCCAATATCCTGGGGAAGAACATTTCGGTAGCACTTGAGGCCACTCATTTGAAGGTCTTTTGAAAGCACGAGTCGCTAGCGAAGCAGAGCTTATCCAAAAATGGAAAGGCACTTTCATACACTAAAGGCTCTTCCTTTAGAGCTTAAGATGGAAAAATTAGCATCATAACATTGTTGACTGTTCAATATTTTTAACCACATTTTAAAAATACCCAAACTGAATATTTCAACCGAACTACAACTTCACAATTCAGGATTAAGGAAATGTGATGGGATATGTCTAACCTTTACAAACACTTCAGCTGTTCAACCTAAAACATACTAAATGTAATGTCCCTGTTTACAATGCCAAATGTCTAAATCCTTTTTAACCATCTATAGTGGCCTCCTACTTACACAAGTAATGCACAAAACATATACAGTAGAGTCCAAAAGTAGGTCAAAGTAAATTTTGCCACATTTATTCTTAGGAGTATTTATGGCACTTTCTTTATGCCCATGAGTAAGGCTGGTTCTTCAGGGGTTTTTTTTTTCTTTACACAGCCAAACAGCAGGATGTAGCCCAACTTGACACAGTTTGGCAGATATAAAGACAACACTGCCACAGTCACTAATTACCCCAAACTGCTCTTGTGAACTCCAGTTACAAAGCATTGTTACCCATTGCAATTTCCTCATTTGATTTTGTTGGAAGTGTGACAGGAATGAGGCTGTGAAAGCAGTTGTTGCATCTTTAGTTCGCATTGTGTGAGAAATATCATAAATGTGTGTTTGGTGGAAGGGCACGTGTCGAAAGAGATGTGATGATCAGAGAGAGAGTGGGGAGGTGCGACAGACTGTGAGAAAAAGAGCTTTTCCTCCCGTCTCTCCATGTTAAACTTGAGCTCCTGTTGCGGCAGACCGGCTCAGAGCAGATTTACACACACAAACACACACCGAATCATTGAGTGCGTGCTGGCTCAATCAGGCATCTCTCCAATCTCTCTCATGCACACAGCCGCACACACACACACCTGCTACTATCACACACTCATTGAACATTCCAGATGGGGCGTTCATCCATCCATTGAAGGTGGGCGACTGCTGTTGAGGAATGAGCATTAGGGACCGTTCTCAGCTTTGTTTTTCTTCTTGAGTTTCATGAGTTTGTACACGTTAAACGTCTTGTTTTTGAACACTCGTGTGAAGAGTGTTGAATACGGAGGCATGTCAGTCTTAATGGCCTCACAAAAACGCGGGTGAGTTGCCGGGATGAGGTCCGGCTCGTTTTCACCTGGGCCGTCCATGATCTGTAATAAAAACACATACACAAATCAGTTTTGAAACGTTGCTTCTTTTCCAATAAGCTGATATTTCTCTACAGTGAAAAATACGGGGGATATTCTCAGATGAAGAAGAGTCTCAGAAGCCTTCTTTTAAAGAAGGCTTCTTTATCTTTCAAATCTTAGAGAAATTGTGCCCTGAGGTTTTTTAAACATTTACTTTGAGATATATTCCCAAATTAACAGAAAGGCCTTGAAATGCTGCTGTGAGATCATTTAAGCACCCAGAGATAGAAAGAACTGCCACCCATGGGAGAGATCAGAGGGAAATCGAAAAAAGAAAAAGAAATAAATAAAAATATCCCACACAACACATGGCTGTTTCTGGGCCATCGTTATTACATTTACACTCCTTCTTTGGTAGTTCTGTCTGCAATTAGCAAGCTTTAATTAAACCAGATAGGTTTAATCAAGGTTAACATAACATAGGCACACAGAACATGTTACAAGAGTGAATCTTATACAAACTGCTGGAGGCAGACTAAGGAAAGGAATCAGGCTTCATCAAACGAGAAAGCGAGTGAGGCTCTTTCACTGGCTGCTCGAAGTCGGATCAGAGGAGCAAGTGAGGCAAACTTCTGTGAGATCTTTCAAAGGCATGGCATTCACCTCAGACACATGAATGACAACTGCTGTCAAGCTATTTTCAGCTGGAGCTTTTTGCCAGGATGTGGGGGAGATTTTTTTTTTCTTCTTTTTTTAAAGCTGACGTGTGCACAGACATTACACAAAGTGCTGCAGCTTAGAAGTAGGACATTTTGGTTTTATCAGATATTGTGCACAACTGTAATCAACTACAAAAGAACAATCAAGCTACCCAAGCAAAAAAATAAAAAATAACTTGCGCTAGATTGCGCACAGGGTGAAACAGTATTTAACAACAATGAACTGTGGGTGAGTGAGAACAAGATGATGTGACAAAATGAAAAAATGTAAGAATCAACTTTACACAAAACAGTTATAGAAATTGAAAACACCTCAGAGAGCTGAAGAGATTTCTAATATAAAAATAATCAGTACCAGTGAGCTTAGCATCTAGCCCAAATTATATTTGTTTATAGCCACGTGAAGGATTCAGTAAAATGCAAAGTTGTTCGTTTTAGCTGTGGAAAAAGTCTCTGGTTCTTGCAGAGAAACTTTCATTTAAATGGAACGAGTGTGGTGTGTGTGTGTGTGGGCATGAACTGGAGATGCTGTGTGTGACCTACATGTCCGTTTGCCAGGTCGAGCAGGTCCCTCAGCCTACAACCACGGCGGTGTCTGCGCTCGTAGCAGATGCTGTCCTCCAGTACAATGTAGTCCGCTCCAACTGAACAGAGAACTTTATGAACCTCCTCAGCAGACTGACGCGCATAGATCTGATATACCTGCAGGGAACGAAAAGGGCAAAGATGGGATAAAGATACATATTAGGTGCTGTAGCTTAGAGGTTAAAGGCTGCAGATGTTTGTGTGGTAAGAATGTACTGCAAGGTGCTCCAGGAAAAAGTCTCTAAATGAAGGATAACAGGACATCAAAGTAGTTTGGAGTTTTGAATGACAAACTATGATGAAAATCTATTGACCTTTTCTTCAATGGCTAAAAACGAGAATAAAATGTTAGGCAGGGAGATTCAATCAAAACTAAGGCCATGTCCACATGTACACGGGTCTTTTTTATAAACAGAGTTTTTCCTTCTTCCGTTTTAAAAAAAATCTCCGTCCACATGAAAAGGCAAACGCATGCTATGAAGCACTGTTAAGAGCATGCCAAACCAACAGGTGGCGATATAATCTCAACCGTAAAGCCATGTTGGCCAATCAGAAACCTGAAAAAGTTTCCAGTAGGCGGAGATAACAGTGCAGGCTCTGACGTCACAAGCCAAAAACTACGATTTGAAAATCGAAAAAAGATTTGAAAATCTTCACCCTGGCAGGTGAAGCCGCGTAGAAAAAAACTGCGGTTTTAAAAATAACCGCGTTCGTGTGGAAATGGGCCTAATATCCTGTATGGTAGGGAGGTTAGATACGCACCTTCGAATTGTAAAGTACTAATCTACTTGGCGGGAAAAAGTCAGCAGACACTTGCAGAATGTCTCATTAAATGAACAACAATTTCAATGTTTCAGAGAAAGAAAAGAGCAGAGTAGACATGGATAAATTTGAAAAACTGTGACAACTCGAAAGTGAACTTAACGGTCTTAAATGAACATAAACAGTTGGGAGAATATCAGATGGGTATCAGTATATTGGACCTGTGCATTAGGTCCTAAAGTGACAGCAGTCTAATACACCTGCTACTGTCTGTGTCCTTAATTTTACGGAAAGAAGACCATGTTCTGGTTTCTTTAGGAAAAGTGATTTTATTTCATTTAAGATGTCACAGCAATTAAATCTAGCTATGTATTGCATGTTCAACAGATGTTTTCTGCAGAACCTATAATGAGTTCGAAATTTTTGAGAAATGCTTAATGCATTAACTAAACTAATGCATTGATTTAGTTAATATAATTAAAACCGTTAGATCTTATGATATTTAGCTAGACTAAAACTAGATTAAAACTAAAACAAGCCACTGAAAAGTGGTGTTTTAATCTAAAGACTATGACTAAAAATAAGTCAAAATTTGCTGTCAGAATTAACACTGATTTGGATGAACACTGGTTTGGCACATGCTAATTATGTCACTGTTGGAAAGGCCAGGCTGCAGAAATACCACTGATGCACTGTAAGGCATTAAACATTTGTGCATAAAAAGAAGGCATTTAAACAGTCATTTTTTTGCTGTTGTTATAATAGATCAAGCAGAAACAGCAAGCAGAAAAAATGTTAGAGTAGTGCGTACACAGTTTCACATACCATTAAATATATGTTTACAGTATTTCAATTAATGGAGCAATATGGCAGCTTAATTGAGGACGCTATGTTAAGGTTTGACATTTCCGTATATATCACATGGAGATGCAGTTCAACGTGGCAGAAAGGCTGCAGTAAACTCAGTGGAAGAGTTTTCATGCCCTTTTTATTAGCAGATGTCAACAGACTATCACAACTAAAACTCATTTTCTCATGAGCCACAGATGCATACTATACAGAGAAGAGAACAGAACACTCTGATGAAATCCATGGCAAACGACCAAACAACATTACTGTTACAAGAATCACCAACCTAAGAAGCCTCACAAGAACACTGGACGATGAATTATGGATTCAAAATATATTTGCTGATATGATGCATAGGTATTTATGGACAATTTTCCTTGACAAAATGTAAATAAATATAAAACATTATTTTGTATGGATATAAAAAAAAATCATTGCAGTGCATTTATGTTGCATTTTCTCAAATGAGGCAATAAGCACCTCATCACCTCAGTCTGATGAGAAAATAATCAACATTGCAAATATAAAATATTATGCAATATGAACTACAATAATGTTCAATGCAATATGCACTTTGCCTCCTTGAGCTCACTGTTTCAGGAAAGCTGCCACCTCTTGCTGTGACTGACTGATCACAATGACTTTCTGTCAACGCGTTAATGCCCACCTCTCATGCTTGTGATAGGTCCACCAATCATCATAAATCGGTATAATTGGTGGAAATGAATGGACTAATTACAAGTACACATCTCACCAACTCAGATATTATCACTTTATCATCACGCCATATGTGAATTGAAAACAGTGAAGCACGATCATGACAGAGCCAGTTATTAACTAGCATTCAGCTTAGTTAAATTAAAGCAGCATACTACTCTCAACTCTTTCATTTAAAACTCAGTTTAATTTAAATCTCCACAGTAAGAATTTAAAAAAACGCACACAGTATGCTTATTATGGTATTGTTGTTATTAGCGGTGTGTAGCAAAGCCAGTATTTCTGTATGTGTTGCACGAGCAAAATTATTTGTATTTATATTCAGAAAAAACAAATGTGGGTGATTACATTGTACGTTTGCCCAAACTATATGAAAACCAATTTAATGTAATCCCTGTGCCTTTCAAAGTTAGCATATACCAAATATGCCATCTTATGAATCATGCAATTACTTTTATTACAAAACATCTGTAAATAAAATTTCATTAAAAGAATAACACCAAATTGTAAATAAACTGAATATTTTTTGGTAAAGAACTTTGATGTCATTTGTATGTGGGACGGGTACGACATTTTCACACCACTTCACAACCATGACTTTTGAAAGCCATTAAATAAATAGCTTGTGGAGCCTATGCACAACACACAGAAAAAGCATTTCCAATTCAGTGGTGAACACAGTTTTTCGGCCAGTTTTTTTTTTCCATAAGTATTTTTCCCATTCATTTTCCCCATTAGGATTTTTTAAAAATGTCTTCTTTAAAGAGTTATAAGCCACGAACCAAACAAACCATCTTTGAGGAGAATCACAACATTACCAAACTTCAATTTGAAGTAAAAGGTCTCTGAAAATCAGATAAAGAGACAAAGGTACAATAACTACAATCCCATGAAGCACTGCGAATGTCAAATTAAACAATGGAGAAATATAAAACTATTTATTTAAAGATGTTTTAGAGAGACTTTGCGCACTCATTATTGTGTTGTTTTCACTATTGTAATTTTAGTTATCTAAAATCCCATCTGTCATCCAAGAAGAATACAGAATAACTGCATCTAACAAGTTCAGTAAATTGTTGAACTCCAATAGTTGTTATTTTTGAAGCAATATGAAACTTGTGAAAAAAATGCATACAAATTGATTAAAGTTTTCTTGACTTTAATATAAACATGCACAAGTATTATAGAATTGGTTACTTTATAGTTCTTTATTAAAGTGTAAGGTAAATTTGTTAAGGTGCATCTAACTGGGAAACAGCGTAAACATCAAACTGAACTGGTACATGAATTTATATTTTGCTATGATAAAACTCAAATGCAGAGGGGACTTCTTCAAGCCTCTTCATTTTAAAGTCCTCACACACACCCTTGCAACCTCTCGGCATGTCTCCATTTGGAGAACCTCTGCTTGAATGTACTGATTTGATGGGTAATTTGGGTCTTTCTGGTTAGATCAATTCTCATCAATTCTCTGAATGAAGGAGGAACAGTAGAGCGGGAGTCTGGCCTTCCACCAACTGTTCAGATCCATATTTTCTTGCTCTACTCTCATGAACAAACGAGAGGGGGAACACACCGTCATCTGATCATCAGAAATCCTCTGACTTTGACCACCTCAACATTCTGCCTCGCAAACTCAAGCATTGAACCTCTGCTACAGACAAATGTCCCATAATGAAGCCAAAAGGAAACATTACGGTTTTTTTTTTCAGACAGAAATAGAAAAGACAGCCAACACAATCAGAATTACAGCTCAGACAAGTCAGTGTACATTACACATTTTAATGAGGATATTTTTTATAGATAAGTACCATATATCAGAGCAGTGCTGTGGAGTTTATTTCACTTCATAAAGACACCCACTGATGTGTCAACTCCCAACCACCTCAATGAGAAACCTAATTAAATTAATTATGCTAAAAGTCACACTTCTGCTGATGAGGCCAAGTATATAACACCGCATATGCCATTAAGAAAACCCTTAAAGAGGATTTATGAACCATTTCTCATGATCTTCTTGATACGGCCCATTTGTAAGCTCATTGAGATTATCAGCTGATTTAAGGTACACACTTTTAGACTCCAATGCATGCATTTCGTCTAACAGTATCTAAAGAGTTTTCAGTGTTAGTGTTAGTTTCTGACTGATTTATTGCTGCTTCATTTATTTCAATTAACATAATAGGGCATGATTGCAAAAGAGAAGATTTCATTCTTTCTTCATATGCTTCTGAGAAGTTTTTCATTTTATATAATGTAGACTATATGTTCAGCTCTGAAACAAAATATCATTGTGTATTTTTTATGTAAATAATATTCATTAAATAAAATATATGTGTATACTTTGTGACTGCTGCACAATTTTAAACCAATACACCCTTGTTTGCTGCTTGTGTCTTCAAAAAAACTTCTCCAGACTAGTGTTGTTTGCAGCATTTTAGTATTGACACCAAATAAACAAAAAACACGTTCCGAAAGGCGAGTCGATTTTTGTCCCAGGAGAACTGGAGTTCCTAGATATAGTAGAACTTGGATTGAATTCTGATTCATGCAAATCAATCCTGAGACTCTTACCTGTCTGGTCCTCTCTCTCAGTGCCTGGTCCTCATAGTGTGGATGGTTTGTCAATACTCTCCCTGTGCACAGCTTAATTCCAGCCAACAGCTGCATGCTGCCTGCAAACACGGCCCGTTTGGGTGTCTTCAATCTGTCAAGAAAAAAAAAAGGATAAAACATGAGAGAGCTCTGTTACATACACTTCTCAAGTTTCACAAATATTTCAGGACAGGCAATTGCACAAGGGGGCTGGGTGTGTAGTGGTGGCATTTATGAGAAAAGCGAAACCTGCAGACATTTATTTCAGGTGAAGGTAGAAATGTGAAATGGTTCAGTGAGGAGGGACGCAGTCATTTGTACATTCCCATCACCCATTTCTGAAACGCAGAAGCTTTGAAGTCTACTTCAGGCTTAAAAGGCACTCTGTCTGTCTGGATGAGAACTGTCTCCTGTCATTTTATATATGTGCATGGCATGGAGGAAAGTGCTGAAGCTGTATGTTATTTGAATAGTCTGACGGATGTTTCAGAGACCATCTGTTTATCAAAACATACCCTTTCAAAATCAGCTTCAACATTTTACACAACATTCTATTCCTGAGTATTAGTATCTACACCACACATAAGCCTCTGGGAGGAAAACACACGTTCCATAACTTTTGTTGTTGATGGTATTTTGGGGCAAATTTTGTATTGGTAAAAGCATCCAAATTTGCCAGATTCCAGCATGAGCAGATTGCGTGACATCCCCTCATCCTCAAAAACCATCAACAAAACTGCACAAGCTAAAGAAAAAAAGTATTCAAAATACTAAATATATTTGCAACTAGAATAATAATTTGTGCTCCCCACAATGTCTATTATGGAAATAAAGAGACATTTAGAAACCAAACAAACATTACGTCTGTTAGGGAGCTGTACACTTTAAATCATAATTGAAAAAATAATTATGTAATTTCACAAATAAGTATTTAGTAATAGTTACCATGAAAAAAACCCTAATTAATAGTAAATCAAAACATAGTTCACAGTATTATCAATACATTTAACTTTTTAATTGTAGGGGCTTTTTCCCCCACAAAAAGCAATTTTGGAACGATGTTGGGTCGTCGTCACTTGATGTCTGACCCAACGTAATCTGGGTCCCGAAGCAAAACGAGTTAAAACAACCACTGATTAAAAAAAGCAGCCTCAGGCACTCAAAACTCCCACCCCATGTCTGTTCAATTTGTTTAGGCAATAAAACGAAATATTGTCACAGACGTCTTTCTTCAAGGTCGAGTTCAGCTCAAGCTGGTAAAGACAAAGTGTCTGTGCTTGTGAAGGTTATAGAGGATTTGGTGGTTTAATCTCTGTCCAGTCTGGAATGAGTTGGATTAAATATTGGATGCATTGAAGAAATGTTTCATTACAGAGGTTAGGAGCAAGTGTGGTCAGTATGGGTCAACCATGAACGTGGACCTTCACAGGACAACCTTGCTCCAAGTTCAATAACTGCCACACACATAGACAAAATCCAAAATTAACTCTACGAAGCCCCACATCGGGTACACACCCTGCTCCATATCTGGTCAGCTCGTAAAGACATTAACAATGGGGACAGACTCACAAACACACACTCACATAGGGTGATTAACAGCTATTTTCAATCTAAAGTTTACTAAAGCAATGAAGCAGCAAAGAAAGAAAGAAAAATGGCTCCAATTTCAGTGGGCTCAAAGGATGTGGCATGACCTTCACCTCAAAGACAAACTTAACGTCTGCTCACATATACCTATGAATGCATCCATGAAAAAGATTGCAAGAGACGGAGGTTCTTCCAATAACAGGGTTCAGGAGCAGCCCTTCTGATGCTAGAATGGAAAGTGGACTGGAAAATAAGGAAATATCAGACTACTGTGGAAAAACTTTGAAGAAAGGGCAGCCCTCAGAGTACAGTAAACACAGTATTGCTAGATAGACAGACAGACAGAGATACCAACATAAAATCCAACTGAATTTATAGTTTTCATCAGCATCTTTGTCTTGTCTTCCAACATAAATGTCTATAGAGATATTTCCAGATCTTGTTTTGTTCTAGTGTACTGATGTGTTGTCTAAACCTAGAGAGGTTCTGCTTCAAACAAGTGAACTACACTAAAGGCATAGCATTGAAACTGGATACATACACAACAAAATATGTATGTACTCATTTTAGGTTGAGGGCTGGATCGGAGAAAATGTCCCCTTGTGTGGGCTGAATTACCTATTGTTAAACCCTAGTTTGCTCACAATTACATTAATATTAACCATGCAAACTACAATATAATTTACAAAAAAATCTAGAAAAACTTTTTTTAAAGATGATGCTAGGTTATTTTAGGTGTGTGCAATATTGACACAAAATATATATATATTTTTTTTTGGCGGCAAGTACCCATCTTAAAGGGACTTCACCTAAAAATGAAAATTCTGTCATTAATTACTCACCCTCGTGTTGCTCCAAACCCATAAGACCTTCGTTCATCTTCGGAACACAAAAAATACTGTAAAGTTACGAAGCTACGAGAATACATTTTTGCGCGAAGAAAACAAAAATAACGACTTTATTCCACATTTTCGTCTCTACTGCGTCACTTGTGGACGCACGTTCACGACAGTACCATGACGCAAGCGTGTGGCAGCGCCAGCGCTGACCCAGATCCGGCGTGATGACGTCCTTACGTCAGATCTGGGTCAGCGCCGCCACACGCTCGCGTCATGATACTGTCGTTCTTCGCGCAAAAAAGTATTCTCGCAGCTTCGTAACTTTTACAGTTGAACCACTGATGTCACACGGACTACTTTGTCAATCATCTTGGTACTTTTCTGGACCTTGAACATGGTAGTTACCTTGCTGTCTATGGGAGGTTCAAAGAGCCCTCATATTTCATCAACAATATCTTAAATTCTGTTCCGAAGATGAACGAAGGTCTTACGGGTTTCGAACAACACTAGGGTGAGTAATTAATGGCAGACTTTTCATTTTTGGGTGAACTAACCCTTTAATGAGTGATCCATTGACTCATTTGTAGCGTCTGGAACACTCCAACACACAATATATATTTTGTTAGCTAGATTTCACAAATACTTTGTAACACCCCAGGACGCCGAACAAGACCCTGGTTTCATGGTAACCCGATACATTTACAACCTTGTGGAATGCGAGCCGGCTCTCATTCTGCTTTCTCCAGAAACAAGGGGTACAAATGCACAGGAGAAATGGACTGTTCTACTAATTAATTCATAGGAAAACCTTCTTTGAATGAACACCCATTTTCTTCAGGCCAGTGTGTATATTATTGCTGTGTTGTATTTAATCTGTTGTATTTCAAAAGAGTTATTCAAAACGGCTGATTCATTTAGAAACTAAGCTAGTGATTGTCTTCATGATTGGGCCACTGAATCATTGACTCAAATGATTTATTCAAACCCACAGATTCATTCAGTAGCAATACACAGTGCTGCTCTGAGACACACAATTGGTTTACTCCAGCTTTGTTAAAAACCTTTTCTTGCCAAAACAGAGATAAACATTGTGACTAAAATGTAACACACTTAATACTAGCATCTTTTTTGATCTGTTGTATAAAATCAATCAATTTGCAATCACGCTGACATTCGAAAAGCAACACTCTTGTTATAGTTTACAAACTTATAGAATTGTACAGTAAGAAAGTTATTTCCTTTAACCAGGAAATTAACGTTCTTAGAATTGACAAGACGGTTGACCCTGAGTGGTCAGCTAAATATCTACAGTGGATCTAAAATATTAATAATTAATCATAATTAGTTATGGTTAATTATTCATATTTCCCCATGAGCTGATTCGCTACACATTCATCATTCAAAAGAGTTATTCAAAACGGCTGATTCATTTAGAAACTAAGCTAGTGATTGTCTTCATGATTGGGCCACTGAATCATTGACTCAAATGATTTATTCAAAAACACAGATTCATTCAGTAGCAATACACAGTGCTGCTCTGAGACACACAATTGGTTTACTCCAGCTTTGTTAAAAACCTTTTCTTGCCAAAACAGAGATAAACATTGTGACTAAAATGTAACACACTTAATACTAGCATCTTTTTTGATCTGTTGTATAAAATCAATCAATTTGCAATCACGCTGACATTCGAAAAGCAACACTCTTGTTATAGTTAGATATTACTTACCTCTCATGACATAAATATTAAAAACAAAAACTCTTACAGGACATTTTTGCCTCCATATCTTTAATTATCTTATAACTGTATTCTGATAGCCTTCACCTGGCACTGAAAAATTCTCATGATGTGTTTTTGTTTGTTTTGCAAAGTTACAAAATGTCAGCTCGTACATAATTAAAACAACAGTTATGATATTAGTAAACAATAAATATCGCACACCCCTAGCTCATTTACTTTTTCCATGCTAAGCTGTCCAGTGCGTCGCAGTGTCGTTTAATATTGCACACATTTACCGCAGCCATGGGTTGTGATTAAACATACCTGTCGGTGTTGAGATCACAGAACCTTTCTTTCCATTTCTCCTTATATAGCCTATCCGCCCTTCCAGGTCAAATGTCTTCTTTTGGACATGTTTAAAATCACAAGTAACTTGCCACACAAGCATCAGCTAACACAGCTATAATCATATTATTATCGTGCTGCTCGAGATTCTGGGACCGCTGTAAAACATGCGTGTGTTAGGTGTCCCGAGGCTTAGCATTAACGCAAATAAATGAGCAATTTGTTCCACTTTGAATTCAAAATAAAATATTGTAGCGAATACACTTTATTTAATTTTCAAAATAATGTTTTATTGATTATTTTACAGTATTGCTCAAATTATCCCGCAGGCCGGATTGGACACCTTTATGGGCCGTATTCGGCCTGCGGGCCTTATGTTTGACACCCCTATATTACAGTAAAGCTCAAATAGGATGTGTTTCTGATTGGTTTATGCGTTTCTGTCGGCTACATGAACATATAAATTTGCTTTCTCACATCATTAGCTTTAAATACGCAACTTTTGTTTTTTTTCCCACCTTGTTTTAACTGCTTTAGGTGCTACAAATGTTAGCCTCTCAGCCTTGCAAAAATATGGCTATTCTCCAATAATGCAGCATCTAGTCAACAAATTAATGGCTTTATAATGATATGAAAACAAACGTCAAAACAAACAGCATGTGTTGTCAGTGATTCCGCCTCTAGAGGCCATTCTGGTACCGCATAATGATAGCAAACCTTCAGCTGCCCCACCAAGGGACCCATCCCGGTAAAACTATCAGTATGGATTTTTGGCGATAACCGATTGTTCCAGTAATCGGCTATTGGTGCTGATTAACTGGCAAAACCAATGAATCAGTCGACCTCTAAATGGTACAATATTGCCCTCATTTTGAGGCAGTCGTTTGACAATACTGATAGGAAAATCTTAAAATAGCATAAACGTATGTCTTTACGTTTCCCCAGTAGAAAAGGCATGTTTCCTCAAATAAAGCTCAATGTTCACCAACTATAAAAAATGCATATTCAGAAACTGTTTAAAATGTGATAGTATAATTTTACCTGAATAAGTTCATGTTAAATGTAAAGTTAAAGTAATGTGAATGCGAATTAATCCATCAAAATGTTTAAATGTATTGAATCAGGTTAACTGAA